CCCCCATCCCCAGACCCCCCTGTTCCCAGACCCCCAGTACCACCATCCCACCCCCCTGCTGTCCCTGTCCCCAGAGCTCCCCACAGGGGCTGCAGGAGGTGACTCTACCTCTGGCTCTGGCACCATCCTTGTCATTTTTGGGTACCTGGGACATTTCCTCCTCCTCCCCTGCAGCCTCCCAGCCATCACCTGCTGCCTGAGTCATCCCCACATGGAACGTCCCTGATGTCCCTGTCACCCATCCCTGTCACCCACCCCTGCCCCCCCGCCTGCCCCAGGGGGTGGGTGCTGTGCTCTGACCCCCCCACCCCAGTTTGCTCACTGCTCTCTCTGCAGAACTTGTGGCCATCATTCCCAGTAGGATCAGACCCACAGCTCCCAGGGTCTATGGCTATTCCCTGTGCCCAGTTTATCCCATCACCTCCCTGGGAACAGGAAAGCTGGTCCCTTCCCTTGAGCAGGGAACTAGAGGCAGAAATTGCAGCACAGAACCAGCACCCTGAGCATCCCTGAGGGGCATCTCCTGAGCATCATTCCCAGTGGGATTAGACCCACAGCTCCCAGGGTCTGTGGCCATTCCCTGTGCCCAGTTTATCCCATCACCTCCAAGGGAACAGGAAAGCTGGTCCCTTCCCTCAGGCAGGGACACAGAGGCAGAAATTGCAGCCTGGGGCCACCAGCCTGGCCACCCTGAGGGGCATCTCCTGGGCATCATTTCCAGTGGAATCAACCCCAGGGTGCTTGGCCATTCCCTGTGCCCAGTTTCTCCCATCACCTCCCTGGTAACAGGAAAGCTGGTCCCTTCCCTTGAGCAGGGAACTAGAGACAGAAATTGCAGCACAGAACCAGCACCCTGGCCACCCTGAGCATCCCTGAGGGGCATCTCCTGGGCATCATTCCCAGTGGGATCAACCCCAGGGTCCGTGGCCATTCCCTGTGCCCAGTTGAGCCCAGTTGAGCCCTGGGACAGCTCTGGGAGAGGCAGTGGCAGTGCCAGGCCCCCGAGGAGCAGGTGCCAGGGCTGCCTGCTGAAATGCAGATGCAGCAAAGCCTGGGTGTGATTAATAATGCAATCAGCGACCTATTTTTCCTGCCCTAACGTGCAGTGAATATGAGGGGCTGAATCCTGGTGATTGCTAAATGCTTTTCTATCTTTGGGGCCTATTCATAAACCACCCCCCCCCCCCCCCCCAACCCCACCACCAAAAAACCAACCAACACAACCCTCATCAGAACAGTCATCTGATCCAATTTATTCCTTTCCTGATGTTCATCAGATCTTTTCCTTTTTTACATTTTTTATTTCCTTTCCTTTCTTCTCTTTTATTTTTTTTCCACCCTCCCCCCTTCTCTTTGCACATGAAATCTTTAAGTGGGGCAGCAGGAGGGGGAGGAGGAGGGAACTTCAGATCTTCCAAGGGGCAGTGGGATCAGTGACCTGAGTCCTGGCTCTGCCACGGACCCTTTTTGCTGCTCTGGTGTCATCAAGAGGCTTGAAAGGTGAAATGTATCAGGAATTATCCCCCCCTGGTGGGGCCCCAGTGCCCAGGGCAGAGCAGCAGCAGGAGACCTTGCTGCAAACCAGTGACACTTCCTGGTTCTCATTGCAGCAACGATGGATTCTGGGTTCCTTCAGGTTGAGGAGCTGCCCAGGGCTGGCTGCCTGCACTGCCCTTACC